ACACACACACACACACACACACACACATATATATATATATATATATATATATATAACCCCAGCAAGAAAAGGAAAACAACAAGAGATAACAAGTTTGATGAGGATGTGGAGAAAAGGGAACCCTTGTGCACTGTTGGTAGGAATGTAAATTGGTGCAGCCACTATGAAAAACAGCATGGGGTTCCTTAAAATATTAAAAATAGCATTACCATTTGATCTAGCAATCCCACTTCTGGGTATATAACCCAAGGAAATGAAATCACTATCTCAAAGAGATATCTGTACCTCCATGTTCACTGTAGCATTATTTACAATCACCAAGACAAGAACAATCAGCTATCGACAGATGAATAAAGAAAACATGGTACATATACTACAATGGAATATTATTCTGTCAAAAAAAAGGGAAATCCTGCCTTTTGGAACAACATGAATGGACCCTGACTGCATTATGCTAAGTGAAATAAGTCAGAGAAACACAATTATTCTAAGATCTCACTTACTGTATTTTGCCATGTATAATGCACTTCCCTGTATAATGCGCTCCCATGACTTTGGCCCAAACTTTGAAAGAAAAAGAATCTTTTGTTTTAATTTTGTAATTCAAATTTTTATTATTTTGCATACGGATATCATTATCGATTTCTAGTTATACTTTAACTCACAAGCATAAATAAAAGAATTAAACACGTTTATATAAATATGGAATTAATACTACCCATGTATAATGCGCATCCTTATTTTTCCCTCACAAATTTGGGCAAAAAAGTGAGCATTATACACAGCAAAATACGGTATATGTGGAATCTAAAAAGGTTGAACTCATAGACAAAGAGAGTAAGTTGGTAGTGTTCAGGGACTGGGGATGGGAAAAGCAGGGTAATGTTGGTCAAAGGATACAAACTTCTAGTTTTAAAATGAATAAATTCTGAGACTCTAATGTACAGCATGACTATTGTTAACAATACTGTAATATATACTTGAAAGTTGTTAAAAGAATGGGTCTTAAATGTTCTCACCACAGAAAAGGTAATTATATGATGATGAGTATGTAAACTAATCTTATTGTTATAATCATTTCATAATATACACATATTATCAAATCACTGCCTTCAATATATCCACTTTCTATTTGTCAATCATACTTCAATAAAACTGGGAGGAAGGAAGGAGGTGGTACTACCATATCAACAGAGGAGCCTATAAATTCAAGTAAGATTGTTAAGCACTTAAATACATTAAGTTCTAAGTTAAGGAACACATAAATATAAAGCAATGAAGGTATCACTTTGTAGAGAGAAAGCGGGATCAGTAATTAAGTTATAGTAGAGTAAAACCTGAGGTACCAGCTTTGTAATTTCAATTACACTGTCATCAAGGAAAAAAATACCATCACCATCAACTGAAGGGAACAGCATCAAGT